GAGAGAGAGAGAGAGAGAGAGAGAGAGAGAGAGAGAGAGAGAGAGAGAGAGAGAGAGAGAGAGAGCCAATAGAGAGAGAGAGACGGGAAGTGAGACAGAGAGAGATGAGAAAGGGAGATAGAATGAGAGAGAGAACGCACATTTTCTTTCCTCGATTTACAACTATTGTTGGAAACAATGGCCCCGACGACTTGGTTGATGATCTCAAACCGCAATACGACGACGCCTGTCGCGACGCGGGAAAAGGGAGGTGCCGATGCGTGAAAGGGCAAAACCGCGAATGAAGACGTGGGAGATTGCGACGCGAAGGCGATGGCGAGGCGAGGGATATGGCGACGAGGGCGATAGAGAGAAGCGAGGCAAACGGCGGGGGAGACGACCACGAGATGGCTGTGTCCCTCGGAGACGAGATGGCTGTGTCGCTGGCAAGGGCGGGTGGTCCGGGGCGCGCGATGGGCATTTTCGGCCGTGAGGGTTGGCGACACCTGCGATTGCCTGCTGCTTTGGACGATTGCAATGCCCACCTGCAAATTTGCGGAATGGCGCCACCGTCATTCGAAAGGCGGATACATCCGAGCGGGGCCCAAGAAACGAAAGTGGGCGGGAAAAGCCACTCCGGATGACGCGTTGGTATCGTCGATATCACGGTAAAATCCGTGCGGGCACCGATATTCAAAAGTGGGCGGGAAAGTTTGCACCAGATGATGAGTTGGGACCGTCGATAGCACGGTGAAAAAAGACAAGTCCTCTCGCAATCACGGCCCGCCCTCCCGCGATGGTTTTGGACCGTGCGATTCCGTGAGGAGGGTCCGTCAAAAAAGGGACCGCCTGATGTCACAGCCCCCGACGCGGCAGTACCTGCGGCGGGCAGCTAAGGGGCCCCTCAAGCCCCACTCAGTGCTCTCTCCGTTCTCCTGTCGGGCACCAAACGAATGGGGGTGGCTGTCACACCTGTTCGCTGGTGTCATTTCTTCCGTGTGCTGCCTTTGCAACGCGTCCGCCATCGCTCGAAGTCGCCTGCATCAAATCGCAGGCCCCTTGCGCATCCAGGCCCTCGTTCTTCCAGCAATCGTCGATAGCTGGGGGCGCTAACGAAAACGTCACGCGACTGTAGACCTTGCGGGTTGTCCCGTTCGCGCTGTGCTTTCTTGTGTTGGCTGGAGGCATTTGTCGACTCACAGGTCAGTAAGAAGCCCACGCCCCCTGCTCGACCCCTTCAACATTTCAAGCCCCCACCTCTTCCCATTGCCCTTCCGCTCCTTCGACCGTGCAAGTCTTGTTCTCGTCCACCACCTGCTCCGCCAATCACGCACGCACGATCTGGAGCGCACGACGCCCACCGATCACAACGACGGAAGACCCCATGCAGTGACACACGCTGACGTCATCTTCTTGCACATTATGTCAGCGACGGGCAATGGCTTGCGGCTTTCACAGACATCGTCCTCGAGTCTTGGCGTCCTCAACATCGCTTGTTTGTGTCCTCAACATCGCTTGTTGGCGTCCTCAACATCGCCCTCTAGTCTTGGCGCCCTCCGTCGACCGCATCTTACGCGTGGAGAAAGTCGCATCGCTCTCGAGTCTTGGCGTCCTCGACATCGCTTGTTGGCACACTTTCTTGGACCCTGGCTCGCGGGTCGTCCTCCCCCAGTCTACTCAGGATATCGCAATGCAGTCGGTCGTGCGAGTATTCTTCTACATCATCGCCTGCTCCGTCTATCACGCACGAGTCGACATGCGCGCGATCTTCAGTCCACGATGTCCGCAGCTCACAACCACGAAAGTTCCCTTCCTCTGACACACGCTCACGTCACCGTCTTGCGCATGACGTCTGGAATTCGAAATGGTCTATGGCTTTCGCAGTCAAGATCGTCGGGCGCCTTCGACGACCGCATCTGACGCGTGGACGAAGTTTCATCGCCGTTGCTCCCTGGCGTCCTCAAAATCGCGGTATGTGATCACCGCTGCGATAAGACATCACCCGATAGACGTCAACACCGGAGACGTCATCTGAAAAACGCGTGTCCATCGACTTTAAGATCCCGTCCATCCATCTCCGGTGTTGACGTCTATCGGGCGATCTGTTTTCGCAGCGCTGATAGCTGGAAGCCTCACGACAAACGCGCACCTCCAACAGGAATCGCCCATGTCGCACTCACAGCCAACTGTGGCCAAGCCACCCATCCACAACGTTCAGCACAAAGGATACCCATGGCGAATCCGAAACATCCAGAATCACCTCCGATCCCGCGATATCCCACCGCCAAGTGCCAACTTCGAGCTCGTTTCCGGTCGACTCAGTAATTGAACATGTCTATCGCGGTTGTGGACGACATCAGGATCTTTTTCTTGTTGTCTTGAATGTTCCTTGTCTCATCGCCCGCTCTCGCACACGCAGCTAGCAATGAGGAACCGCCACGCAATCGGGCGCGAGACGCCGGACACGCATCGGCAACATTTTGGATATGGAACCAGCGCTCACAAGTTCCATCGCGCCCACAGGAAAACTTCACAGCACCGCCGCCCGTGCGGCAGCCCGTCCCCTCGCCACGATTCATTTTGGGCGAACTCTGACGTGGACAATCCTCGCGACGTTTGAAGTCTCGAAATTTGAGCTGAATGAACGCACATTTCGATTCCAATTAATTGCAGCCTTGTTTTCCTGAGCAGCTTAGGGAGGCGTTCTCGGGATTGCAGCGGGAGTGAGAGAGTGCTGTTCGTGCCACTTGTTCCGGATGGAGTTCGGATTCATCCGATCTCGGGATGAAGGCAATAGTAGATGTCATTTGCGATGCAAGTGGTTGGATGACTATACCCCTCTTACATCCGACCCATTGTTTACACACAACGTTTCCCCATCGAGAGTTTTGAGGCGACCCCCTTTCCATGACAACCCACCACTCATGACTTCCGTCGGTGTTCTTTGTCTCCCACGAGGGGTTATGCAATTCTCAGGCTGGACGCTTTTTGTTTCACCTCACTACGGAACGTGTGATGTAGTTCGGATGAATCCGAACCACAACCCTCGGCTCGTGAGAAGTCTCAACGGGAACCGCATCCCTCCGATGTCTCAGTGGAAGGGACAACGACGGCAGAGGGGATCGCTTTCGAAGTAAACATCTCCTGAAATCATGAGTACAATAGCTCCCCATCTGCTTTTGCCTTCGTCTGTAGCTCGGATGAATCCGAACCACAGCCACAACCAACTGACAGGTGGCAGTCGTGGCTTTTGTCAGTGTTTATTTATTCCGCATTGGGTTGTGCAATACTCACACAGGATTGGACGTTTTTTGTTTCGCCTCACTACGAACTTGTGATGTAGTTCGGATAAATCCGAACCACAACCCTCGGCTCGTGGGAAGTCTCAACGGGAACCACATCCCTCCGATATCTCAGTGGAAGGGACAACGATGGCACAGTGGATCGCTTCGAAGTAAACATCTCCAGAAATCAAGACTCTGATAGCTCCCCATTTGCTTTTGCCTTCGTTTGTAGCTCGGATGAATTTGAACCACAACCACAGACGACTGACGGACGACAGTCGTGGCTTTTGTTAGTGTTTATTTATTCCGCATTGGGTTGTGCAATACTCACATAGGACTTATAAGTTCGGCGTCACTCCTAAACGTGTGATATAGCTCGGATCAATCCGAACCACATCCCTCACCGCATCGGGATTCCCGAGGTGAGTATCACGCCCAGTGACGGGAGGTCTCATCGGGAAAGGAAAACGGCGGCACACGCCACACATCCTTAATGCAACATACAATAACCGATGGTGGGCACTCATGACATTCGTTGTTTATTTGTCCTTCCGAGAGGCGAAATGTGAACATTTCGAAGGACGTCTGGGTACCGCCTGACTGAAACCGTTTGGTGTGGTCCGTATAATTAATCCGAGCCTCATAGCTCGACGACAATGGAGTCTGATTTGTCTGCCACTCTTGGCTTTTGTCTTTTTGCGCATGGGGCAGTAAGGCAAACATCGCAAAGGACGTGTTGCTTCCTACTGGATCCGCCTTCGACTCCAGGGCTGTCTCATCCTTCTGCCACATCCCTCCGAGTGAGGCGAGGTCGCTGGCGGTGGCTCGGATTAATCCGAGCAACGGATGGTCGCACGACATCCCATTTAATGTCTATCTTTCCTGGGCGGTTGCTTGGATTGATCCGAACCACGGATTGGTGGGCATGAATGAGCTTCTGTCTAGGACTTCTGTTGGCTGGTCGCTCTGATTGGTCCGAACCTCGGATCCGGGCGGTGCTGTAGGCTTGGATGAGCGTCTGTCTTGCACTTCTATTCAGCTCGTATTCAGAATGACCGTGGTAGGTAGAGTGTGTGCTTTCATGGCTCTGCGAAAAGTACCTGTCATGTCGACTGTGCGAAAACGTCTTCTGTAGATGAGGCGGTGTGATGTGGTTGTCCGGCGTCGGTGTGCTGTTCCGTTCGACGAGGGTCGTCCCACTGTTCTGTTCGTGTCAACGTGCTTTACGGCGTGGGTTTTGATAATTTTTTGAAATCCCGCATCTGCTCTGGAACGGGTCCCTGCGTAGTTTTTAGAAAACACTCAACTGCCTTGGTGAACTTCTGATTGGTGACCTTCTGTAAGGGCTTTGCAATGCGACGTGGAAAGATTTTTTTTTTTGACGTTTCCAATTGACGGCCTTCTGTAAGGGCTTCGCCCACAAAAAAGTGTAGGGCGTTACAGCTGGGTGTGGGCGTCGTCGGGGAAATTATCATTCACCGATATTGTTTACGACCGTCTCCTCTTCCGCATGTCTATCCATGTGTTCATGTTGTGTAGGGAGTTTAATGTCGTCGAGTCCTTCGACAAGCATCGCCATGACACCCGAGAGGCACATGCGCTTAGCGAAACCCTTTCCACCTTGTGCGAGATCGTTGCGGCATCATGACGGTCTAACGTGGATCGACGACGCACCCGAGGACGACTTCGAGGACGATCCATGGACGACCGTCGTCCCTTATATGAACCGGCATCTCGATGAATGGAACGAAAATAACTGGAAGGCGATGGAGCGTTCCTGCCCATGGGCAAGCCATTACAAGTTTGCCAACGTGTTGGAGTTCGGGAGCCTCATTGCACTGCCTGCTGGTGTCCTCCATCGAAAGACCCTGGACGATAAGGGTCAACCGTACCGCTTTCGTACCAGCTTCAGACGTCGCCTCCACTGCGAGTATATCACATTTTCGCCACGAACTTGGGGAAGTTTGCAAAAGCAAGAGTTGGTGGACTGCGGTCGTCATTGTTCATTCTTGGAACACTACCCACCCCGTTGCCCAGGGACTTCTCCACAAGCTCTGTCGTACTGTTGTGTGCGCTTGACGGATGACGGATGTCCTTTCGCCAGAGTGCTTTGTGTGGCTTCTTCAAGCAAAAGCGGGAAACTTGTAGATGCAGTTGTGCTTGTGTCACGCAATGAGATGGTGCTTCAGGGATCCAGGTTCAAGGCGGTCATGTCTCGCCCAGATGTAGATGGGCGATCAGACTTGGTGAGAGCAGGTCAGGTAAGAGTTTTTCTGTCATTGTGGGATAATGTGAAAAAGAAAGTGTCTGAAATACGTGACTGTATAGGGAATTCCTTAGCACGACGAGGAGGGTTTGTCAGGATAAAATACATGTCAGTGTTTTCGGAGAAGGCAACAGTCGACGAGCCGCAGATCCATGTGTATGGATCATCTATGAATGCTATGTATGGCTTTCGTTCACGACCTCGTCCGCGGGAACCCCCGTATGTCACAAGATACGGACGTGTGGTCAGACCTTGTGTTTAAGGGAAAAGGAGACTCCCTCGTGACGACTAAAGTTGACACCTGCGTTGTTGCATTTGAACTTGCGAAGGTGACGTTCTATAAGTGTTTCGGATTCATCCGAATCATCAATCAGATACGTGCGGGTGCATCCAGCATTGAAGGCGATGCGTATAGACTTCCCCAAGGAAGATCCTTGGCTAAACAACAACCCGTCGGATTCTGTATGTGCGACTCGATAACTGCAGACCATCGAGTTTATGTTCTTGCACGCCTTCGAGGCAAACGACGCTTCCGAACAGTCTGCCACCCTCTAGATCGTCTGGTGCTGCCATGAAATGTGGTGCCTGTGTCCGAGACCCTCTGTGCAACAGCCGCTGTATGGCAGAAAATGACGTGAGCGGCGACGAACGAGGCTGTAATCATGCATGCTCACCAATACATCTTCTGTCTCGGATTCATCCGAAGTCGCCGGCTGCACAAGCGTTTTCATTACTTGCTGTATCGGCTTTTATCCAATCACGAAAGGACAGCCGAATATGAGGTTTTTTTAACAAAGGTTGGCAGAGAACTTCAGTTTTAGTCTCAGCCTCCACCCAAAGAGAGTTGCAAGCATGGGCAATCGCTTTCCATAAAGGGGACTTGATATGCAAACGCTGATAGGAGTGAAGCAAAAAGCAGGTCCAAACATCTGTGGGTCTACTCAGATTCCACTCTTTTGCCAATATGTGTTCTGCCAAGATTATCCAACGGGGTTCTCGGTGGTCCAGGCCGCATTTAGGACAAATTTGATTAATTGTTTCATTTTGATGTTATGGATTTAGAATCCCTAACCCCCCTTGATCGCGTGGTAGACAGCAGTTCATTCGTGTTGGTCTAGGGCTGCTAGGTCGCATGGTTTATAACAACTCGGCTTATGGCAAGTGTAAAGTCAATAGGGTCGGTCAATGGCAGGTTGGAGGGCAAAAAGGAAAAGAAAATATAAAAAATAATGAGGAAAAAGCGTTATAGTGAGGGGTGGCAGACGCCAGACGGTGTTTGTGTGAACTCTGCGCACCCTGTAGCTCGCCCATTCACGCAGGCTATGCACCATCCATCAGCCACTTGCAGGCGTTTCTGTAGTTTAGCCTTCTGCTGGTATTCCCCCCCAGAGAGGCAGAAGGCTATACAGAAACACCTGGGTAGGAGAGACACATCGAATACAGACAAGATTCCAAAACGAAAAGAGAACAGGTTTCTGACGTGGCTCAGTGGTTAGAGCACCAGTTGGAAATGCGCATTGTGGTATGAGGTTGCAGGTTCAAAACTCAATTGCAACCTTGCGCACGGAGGCAGAGCGTTAGATTGACGCACGGCTGGACATACACTCCCCTCAGGCTGACGCATGGTGCTACTACAGACATTGCCTCCGCACCACCCAAGGTGGGTTGTGCATTGCGTTGTATGATGGTTCTGGGTTCTGGGTTTCACATGGGTTGCTTGGGGGTGTTGGTCTTGGGTGTTCTGTTGATCTCCCCAGTCTGTCATATCAGATGTTCGTGCCATTTCTCCACGTGCGATTACATGTTACAAGTTCCGCTTTCGAACAAGGTCACGGGTTTGAGCTCGGTTCGAACCTTGGGCGGGGTCCTTAACAGCTTACCCCATTCTCTCTTCAATATATACACATGATGCTGCCTACACAATTCGATACATTGATTCACAGAGCACACAGGGGGGGCATATACATAGCTTCTGAATATACATGGCCTATGGGCTACATACACAAGTTTCCACACATGGTGCTGTCTGTACATCTTGATACATAGATACACGGAGCATACATAGCCTTCGGGTACACACATAGATTGCAAACTATACAACTATCAGACTGGGGGGGTCTAGTCACTGGGTGTGGTCTAGTATCTGCAGTAGGGACAGGAATGGGCCACAGGAGTTCCCACTGATATTGTCTAGTGACTATATAAGGCTTAGACCCTGGGGTAAGGGTAGGGGTATAAGTTGCTCAGGCCAGTCCGACTTCTGCCTGGCCTCGGGTAAGTTAGGGGAAGACCCGTAAGACTGCTTCAATGGGTGCTAACAAGTCTGAAACCTAGGTCCCAGAGTCTCTTGGGGCCTGTAGTAGATTGTCTGGGCCTGGCATCCGAAGTTTCCATTCGCTTCCACCAGGGCTGGGCAACCAATCAGCCCTGGTGCCTATCACTGCTGTTCAGTCCAAATTGCCTGGCAGTGCCCATTGGTAGGGTAATAGTCCTGAGTGCTCGTCCACTGTTTTTTTTGCGCACTTTTTTTTTCCTTCCATTGCTTTTTCCATTAATCAGTCAAAATCAACCCTCATTCACCAATCTGCACTCAATCAATCGACCGATAAACAAATCAATCAACGCCTTTTTTTTTTTTTCCCCTTCCCTCCAACCTGCTGTCAACCGACCCTATCGACTTCACACTCACCATTTCATTTGGTGATCACAGGGCGCATGCAACCCATGCCGCTGGCCTGGCGGAAACATCCAGAAGGCACGCAGTGTTGGCCCGTCTCACAGTCAACAAACCTCCAAAATTGGCAAGTCCACGGTGGAGTGAGCATGGGCGCACAAACTTAGATCAGCAAGTGTCAAAATCGGCAAGCAAGTCTAAAAATCAGCAAGTTCACGGTGAAGCTCGCATGGGCACAATTTCTTACCGAATTGTACCAGGCTGCTTGATCATAACCAAATCAAGTTATGTCAGGCTGCCAAGTGGTAAGTCAAACAGCTTCTGCCTGCCGCTTGACAGGTCCGAACTTCAATGACAGGTCATAACCAAATCGCATTGCATCAGACTGCCATTTGGCAGTCTCACCATAAGCCAAATTCTCGTTCACCAATCTGCATTCAATCAATCGACCGATAAACCAATCAATCATCGCTTTTTATTGTTTTTCTTTCCCCTTCCCTCCAACCTGCTGTTAACCGACCCTAACTACTTTACACTCACCATAAGCCAAATTCTCACTACCGTGGGCCATCGAGGCCCTAGACCACTTGGTACACCAATGAACTATCTCGTTGGTACCAGTTGGTACCGAATTGAATAAAATCAATAAAATCATTTTGCATTATCTAGGGCCGGTCAGTTGATATCTCTTAAGCCTACTCATTCCTTAAGCCCAACCAATTCAATAACCTGTCGAATCTGGACAGGACGGCCTTTCTCTTTTTTTTTAAGGCTTGAAGTCTTTTGATGTATTTAGCGGTATCCGCAAAGATGGTCAAATTCTTACGCGAAAGCACGCCTTCGATGCCAACAAGATTACAAAATAACAGAAAAGTATAAGTGAAAGTTTTCATTAATTCTCTAGCTACAGGTCCAAATAACAAAAAAGTATTCCTCTTGGATTTCCATCTTGATTGATAATTACTGTCGTTTTTGTATTTCAAGGACAAGGAACCCCGTAGCAGCCACATCCTTTTTATAACAAGCAAATAACGAGTCCAATCAATTCAATTGCCTGTCGAATCTGGACAGGACGGCCTTTCAGGCCTTTTCTTTTTGTCATTATAGTATCATTATACGGGGACGCCCCCCTTAGCAATCACATCCGTGCTCAAGCCTCCAACGAGGGAACATACAGGAGCTGCACCCACCAGCAGGTGCGATACCTGCTACAGCAGTTGAGGAACCGGCCGGGCCGTCGCCGTTAAATAAATAAAAAACAGGAGCATATATTTAAAACTTCGATCATCAGTGTAATGGAAAAAAAAAACAAAAAAAAAGAGAATTAAAGAGCTCCATTGAGCTGAAGGCTTGACGTCGTCGACGACTTGCCGTAAAACTAGACTCCACACGGATACCCCCCGGCCGAGGTCCCACCGTCCCACTAGCAGAAAGGATAGGATAGAACTCCTAAATCTGGATGTGTTTTCAGCACAGATGCAGAAAAAATGCCGTGCAATCGCGATTTCCTGCACATGTCGATCAACTCGTCCAGATTCCGGAATTCGATCCGATCCTCTTTGCTAGTGGGACCATGCCCCTCAAACCCGATCCCTCCCGAGCATCGTCGACAACATCATCACCGTGAGGAAGAGGGGAGTTGGCCCAGGAGACGAAAGAAAAGAAAACACCTCGCTCCACTCCTCACCCTAAACATGTATGTGGTCGCTTTCAGAACCAGGTGCATTCTTGCACTCCAACACGATTTTGAATGTACACAATCCCTAAAAGCGTTGACATACATGAAGAGTGTTGCGTAGTGGAGCGCGAGTGCTTATTGCCGGCTGGTGTTTATTGCTATTTTTTCGCCATTTGCACTCGACGCATAATATTATGACGTTCTCGCCTTTCTGTACTTTCTGGCCTCGTGTGTATCAACAAATTTCATGCATGTCATCCTTGCTTGCGCAGGGGCCATGCCAATTCTCTCTCTCTCTCTCCGTATCGTTCCAATTTTAACGGATGTCATTTTGTTTATTACTTTTTTTCCTCTCTGTAAAGCCCAGGGTGTTGTAGCCCGCTTGCGCTCGGGAGTATTGGCAGCTAATCGTCTTGTACTAATATTCATTGCTAATCTTCTCTAAGTGCCCTTCTTCTCCCACCTCTCTTTCGTCACACACCGTGTGTTGCAAGGTCATTCTGTCGGCGGATATCATTCATTAAGGAGCGCTAGTGCGTACAAAGCAAAAAAGAAATCGGTACGTCCTTTAGTCAGTCTGCCACAATAAAATCCAATCGGTACGTCCCTAACGAACAAAGCAAAAAAAAAAAAGAAAAAAAAAAAGACCGAACGAAAGACAACGACGGCCACTTTGCGCAAAGTAGACACACTCGATGGAACCACCTTAACTTTGCATTTTTTTTTTTTTTTTTTTTTTATCAATGACAGTTCCATTCCGAAGCAAACACCTCAGGTTCGATTTCGAAAACCGCGACACATAAAAAATACCCCAAGCCGAGACGATGTGAACCATACATTTTCTCTTCTCTTTAAAGCCAAACAAAAGAATTGCACGACAACTACAACTATACATCATGTCCACCATCCTCTTCCTCCACATCCTTCAACGAGAGCATGTAGTATACAAAGCTGTCCATCATCTTGGTTATATCAACGCTCAAATACCTTTTTTTTGTTAACAAAAAAAAAAAAACCAATTTCCTCCATCCCCTCCATCCCCCTCCATCCTGCTCATTATGATCTAGCACACAATATGCCTGTAGGACTCCACACAACGTTTCACCTATTTTACTCTATAGCCAGACAGAGTATTGATTACCCAGCCAGCCTGAATAGGGTTTCAAACTCGTCCTCTGCCGCCAAAGGGGATATTGACAGAGTATTGATTACCCAGCCAGCCTGAATAGGGTTTCAAACTCGTCCTCTGCCGCCAAAGGGGATATTGAATGCCGTACCAAGGAGAAATTCTCCGCAACGCTATGGTTCCCCATTGTCTTGCTACAGAAGAAAAATCTATCTATCAATTTTTTTTTTATTTTTATTTTTGCTGAAATCTATCTGTAGTTTCTTCTTAATGGTTCGTAAGGTATTAGACACTTACGTGGACAAACTCATCCACCCATTCCTCGAATCTCGACGTTCTGTAGGACTAAACCCGTTAATCCCGACTCGTACCCTGAATCTCGACATTCTATAGGGCTAAGTAACCCTGAATCCATCGACTCGTACCCTGAATCTCGACGTTCTATAGGGCTAAGTAACCCTGAATCCATCGACTCGTACCCTGAATCTCGACGTTCTATAGGGCTAAGTAACCCTGACTCTCGACGTTCTATAGGACTAAAGCCCCTTAATCTCGACGTTCTA